TATTTAATTATCTACCAGATACCTAGATATCTTATACAGGCTTTACTAACTAGACCCACCTGGTGATTAGTTAAAATTAAAGCTGTTAGTTAAATATCTATATCCTATTTCATTTACTGTTTTAGGCAATCCCTGCTAGCTATATCATATGATTACTAGCTAGGTGGTGTGTGGCCGTGTGGGAAGTGGCGTGGCTGGAGGTATCAATTGGTAAAAATTTATATTGGCCAGTTTGTACGTTCAGTCCGCCGTAATAGAAGAGAATTTCCTATAGAAAGGAAGATAAGAAGCGAATTAGGGACGAAAACTAGGGACTACTATAGTACCTAGACACTAGGAGGGGCCAAGGGGATTCAAACAATGAAAATAAGATACAAGGTTAAGTAGTAGTGGGCTTCCTGACTGCCATCCTATCCCTTCCCAATGACCAGCCTACCGTAGACTATGATAATTGGATGGGCAAGTGGACGGAGGCTAACTATTAGAGACAAGCAATATCAAGAATTGGGGAGAAAGGTGTGTCAAGTATCGAAGAAGATGATGAAAAATTGACTTGCGGGGTATCTACAATCAGCAAGAGTTACCACAAATTCAGCGCAAACCAAACAGCTGTGAAGACCATGGCCAGATGCTGCTTCTGCGCTCTTACAACCCCTGCGGACAAAGCGCCCGCGGAGCTTACTGACGGCACTGTCGTTGAAGATGCACCTGTCGGCGCCCCAATTCTTGCCCCGGAGCCATCAGCTACAACCGACGTAACCGGATGAGCAACCTGGGTGGCACTGGGAACTGAATCAGTTCCAACGCCAATTTCCAGAATGTTGTCCTTTGTCGAGTTGAAGTTTGTGTTGGCGATAGATATCTCGTTGTTGGCTATGTCGTATACGACATATGCACTGCGCAAGAATGTGTCACCCAGAACCGCAGTACTGTCTCCGGCGGGGACAATTCCAAAGATACATGCACGTGCACCATCCCGGAAACGAAGGTCGCCCGCGTCCAGGAGAAGTTCGTCAATCATAACCGTGATATTCGGAGATGAAAAAGTATATGTTATATTCATGTTGTTTCCCGCCAAATTGCATGGCAGGTAACCGACACCGCTTGAAGGTTCATATGCGACGTTGAGGTCACGATATATGTCCTCGACGATGGAGTCAGGAAGATAGGTCAAAGAGCTGCCGGAGTCGAGCAGTACCGCCGCCGGTAAGGCATCCGATGAGTAAGTTTTATGATGCGACTCCGAGTCGAACGCAACTCCAGTCAATGCGATCACAAACTCCGAGTATCGTCCGTTGACCTTTTGTATGGGCAAAGTCTGCAGCTCTCCGAGATACTTTTCTGTATTGACACCCCCGAATAATATTGATCCCGTGTTCGATTCAAGGTCATTTAACCAAAGGCTGTAGGCGTTGGATTTGATCAATCCCTGATCGACCATTGCTCGCGGAAGGTTTGGGTAAGCGTCTTTGCCGTACCGGCCCACCTGAACCTCATTCGATGGATAGCCAATTCCTAGCACGCCTTCTATACCAAGGGAGACAGAATTAGTTCCCTACACTGAAGCAATGCAGGTACATGTGGAGCGGAAATTCGCCCAATCCCAGGCTGGGCCGACTCACCTGAAGAACTAGACGAGTACCCTATTCCAAATTGCAGGTTCTTTAGTGTTGACCCTCCAATATGGAATATATCAGTTGCATAATCGCCCACGGCGCCGGTCCCATCAGCGTATGAAATATTGAAATCAGATGAAACATAGGCATATGTTGATGAGGAAGCAGGGTCATAAGAACCGGATATGTTGCAGGAATCGCTCGAAGCCGAGCACAGTGTTGAATTAGCCGCGTTGCACCATAAATCGCTACTCCCAGTGTCGAGAACAAGGCGCAAGGCCTGCTCAGGGGTGCCGAGAGTCACGTTGCAAAAGTACAGAGTTTCCTGGGTGACTGTAAATATGCACCAGAAAGTCAACTTCCGGGGGTGCTTTACTCACCTCGTTATCGAGCGTTTGGCCGATTGTCTTGTCTCTTTTCCGCCGAACTCGGTCCCTCGCCACAGGGTCTGAAATAATGCTACGCTTGATATCCAGTGAGACCACAGCAGGAACATCCCTCTGATGCAGTGTTAAGCAGGCACCATGTTTCACCGTCAGACACACAATAAAAAGGAGAGAGAATATGTGCCGCATGATTGGCCCGCTATGATGCTATCTCGTCCAACTGCCAGAGTTGCTAGTTGGGGGGGGTTCGCCTGGGCCCAGACTGTACAAAGCCGCAGAAGCTGTAGAAACTCAGTCATCAGCAGGTATTGAGATGATAGCACACATCAGCTGAAGGTAGTCTTGAGGGCTACAAAGCCTAGGACTCCCTTGGCACATACTCCCGTATTGCGCCCCTCGGGTGACCTAATGGCTATGATAGAAGTGACCTACTCTTTGTGATATGATACTGCCAGTATTGCTCGCAGACAAATACGATGTGTCAATCACCTTCATGTACCAGCACAATAAGGTGAACAGCAAATCATACATCGCTTTGCCCAGCTTTTCAGGCCAGAGTTGCCCGAGGATAGTACACTCGGTCGACCCAGCGCAGTCGGGGGACCGGATAGGTACCAATTTCAAGCATCATAAATATCATGGCGTGTCGGCTGCTGTCGTCATCAATGGTGGGCCCCTGGTCGCTTTCAGACTTTCAGTAAATTTATGGTTCCAATGGGAGGGCTGCTAATAATCCGGATGATCATCAGTTGAATAAGCAATCCAGTCCCCACTTTAAGGATTCGGCGTACTCCGTAGGATCGATTAAGAACCTGGAAGCCTAGCCCACGAGGCCTGGGCTCCAGCCATCGCCGCAAACAGCTACTATCGGGGAATGCGGAAACTGATGTTCCGATACTGCTCATTGAAGTTATTATTCAATGTTCAAGGTGCGCCTAAATATTCTGTCATATTCTGACTAGGATTTTTAAAAATACTACAGATACGCACAACCCTGCCAGTAACACATAACAATATGTTACGTAGCATGTCCAGTTGCTGCAATATTTGAATATTAATACCCATTGCTGGTGGTTGCGTACCCTCAAAATACCCCCCTTATGTTTGGGGAAGTCTGTTTCTATCTATTATTAAGTGAATACCCATTTGGGCAGTACCTACCTTTAAGGCACTTTGCTTCTCGATGGAACCATGTGTAAGAGGGACATGTACGGAGTACACTGCATGCTCCTGGTAATGCTCCCACTTGCCGCTACCACTTGTCTTCTGCCCCTCTGACTCCATCTGAGCCTCTTTCGTGCTCTCCACGCAACGAACCTACCTACCAGTCTGGCTCTGTAGGCAGCAGCCATTATCCAGTATGGATGACGTATCCCTGCCAATATAGATGACGTACCTCTCTACAGTTGTGAAGTGAATTGAATCACAGGCCAGGATGTTCTCTAAAGCATATATCGCATTTCTTTCACCAACCCAAGCGAGATCTAATTAGCTATGCACATGTTCATGCAGATATATATACACACATATATATGTATGCCTCTTATTGCATAATCAGCAGTTGAGAAGTACCTAGCCAGGCAATAGTGGTGGGTAATTCTCAATAGTGGCCACCCATTATGAACTGACCACCAGAGTATGACTAACTGAACCTACATACGTACCCGGCAGAGCACGATGACAACGTATGTGAAGGGCTAAATCAAACCCATGGCGACTTTGACTTGCTTCATTGTCAATTCAGCGTTGGCCCGCGCGGCTTCAGAACCCTGTTCTGCTATAGAATCAAGGTAGTCAGTCTGATCTCCTACAAGTGAGAGATACTTCTCCCTTATTCCCTCAAGGTGATTGGATAACGTTCTTGCCAGATGTTCCTTCAAAGCGCGAAGACTGGCTGAACGGTATTCCATGGCTATCTCATCGCAAGTTCGTCCGTCGAAGTGACTCAGGATCTCTATTAAATTCGCCACTCCAGGTCGATGCACTGGGTCATATGTTATGGTCAATTCCGAGTCTGTGAGCGCAGCATTGATTTTCTTGGAGATTTCTGCGGGCGAATCCGTAAGAATGATCCTTGAGCGTCCGTCGGCATGGGACTTGGACATTTTCAATGTCGGTTCTTTGAGGGACATAACCCGCTTAGCAGGCGCTATTGATAGCCGTCAATTTCCCAACACAGGACCCTTCCGCAAGAAGCAAAATCCACTTACATATAATTGCCTCGGGTGACGGGAAAATGGGCCCATATACATGATTAAAACTGTTCGCAGTGTTCCTCGAAAATTCGAGGTGCTGCCTTTGATCGTCTCCGACAGGAACATGAGTAGCTCTAATCTACATCAGTAATGTGAAAATGCACCAATGATTGGGCGGCATACCTATGAACTAGAATATCCGCCGCTTGTAGAACAGGGTATGAGAACAACCCCAATCGCAACCTTGACCTCGCCGCCGAGTCTTCCAGATTTGCGTTATCAGGCAACTGAAGCTTGCTCTGGACGACGTCAGCTAGCTGTTCCTCCTGACCATTGGACCTGGTTGGCACTTGATCTGGATATTAACCTTCCACTGTGTCATTCGGGAGAGATATCCCATAGAGGCTATTGTGCACAAAATCCAAAACAGTTCGGCGTGCGCATGGACCTAACGATATGGTCAGTAAACTTTATGACTTAGATTCATACTGCATACGGCGGACTGGTAGAAAATCGTTGAGCGATTCGGGTCTAAGCCAACGGCAATGAGTGTTGCAAAGGTCTCTTTTCTCCAATTTCGTAGCTGAGAGGCGTCTTGTGGCACTGTCAACGCATGCAAGTCGACGATAGAGAAAAACAATCTTGTTCCCTCCTTCGCAGCATTTTGTAGCCGTACCCATTCACGCAAAGCTCCCAGATAATTTCCAAGGTGCGGTACGCCGGTTGGTTGAATCCCAGAGAATATGGTCTGATTGGCAGCTGAAGATGATTTCGCCGTCTCTGAGTTACTCCATCTGCGGAAAGCTTCTCTCGACGTCACAGGTTTCCCTGGATGAATGCGAGGTCTTCCTGCTCCACGCAGAACTCCGAGAACTAGACTGCTGTGGCAATTGGGTCCCTGCATATCCAATCTGTTGACCGGGATGGAAATTTTGGTGCAAACCGTATTTGTGTGATGCCTTTCTATTCTGAAAGGATATAATGCTTAGCACTCCGACAAAATATTTAAACCACGTGATATCAATACTACTTCTCAACTATCTATACTTCGAGCTCGTACTACACATAAGCCGGATCCTGATGACAGGTATACTGACACTGCCTTACGATTTGAATATCTCGTTGATGACTAAATAAAATTGCTGCGTGTGTATATGGCCCCAGAGAAAAGTTTGGTTGATTACCGAGATGCTAAGAGAATTATAAGCAGAGGGCAAACCAAACCTAACCACAACCATGAGGTCAACCCTTGCGAATGTCTGTCAAGGGGCTCTTGTTATGAGTGAAACGCTCATTTTCTAAAAGATCAAATACGGCGCTCTGATCTGATCCGTCACCCCGATGACCGAAACGTGAGAGGTACGGTTCAAGCGACTTCTCGATATCGGGCAGTGCTTCATCCATGTTCCCGGCCACATCTAGATTTAACACTCCGTAAGCATATAGACTTGACACATTCCGGTCAGGCAGTAAGTATAGCGGGAGGAGGCCATACCGAGGCTTTCATGATCCCACACATTTGCTTTCATACCAACGCCATAAAACGCATGTTTACGTAAAAAAGCCAGCCATGCCTGTACAGCTTGGGGATGCCCATCTTTGATCTGAATCAACCGGCGGAGGGTTATCCGCTCGAAGTTCTCCTGACTTTTCTTGTGAACGAAATTGCTTCGCGGGAAAGTCCAGCGCTCAACGATCCGTGGTAGAGGAACCGGCCCAGAAACAGGAAGTTCCAGGTAATATGCAGCGCGCACAGCAAAATCAGCAAAAAACTCCAAGTTGCGAACGCTATAAGACCTGAGTTGAAGATCGCAGACTGGCAGACCAAATTCAGGTTTCCGCCGAAGTGGCCGAAGATACAACGCTTGTACGCTCCGCGGGAGTCGGGCCTTCTGACCGACACTGTCCAAGCGCTCTGACCTGATTACCGATGAGCATGGTGGCGCAGAACAGATTGCCTGCAGAGAACTAGATTACCAACCATTCTTTGACACCTGAATCTGACGAAGACGCTGGATTCCTCGATCTGAGCATGGTTTTGTTAGTCCAGGGACTCTACCAACTAGAAATGAATCCAACAGGTGAAAAAGGCATCTCTAACAATTCTGAGCTTATGACCGAATCGCTGCGAGACTCAGACGGCCTAGAGTTTGCGACGTCCAGCTCGGCTGAAGAGGCGATGCTGCGAGAGGCGGATACGGCGAACTTTTTTCAGTAAGATCAGCTTCACAGAGCACACTTGTGAAAAGGGAAATCACTGCTGAATACCTTCAGATGTCCAGCAGCTCGTAAGTAAAAACGTGGACCGAGGGAAATTGACATAGTGTATGTGGGCAGGATGACCGATAGGTAGCTTACAGACACAATCCTGTCAACTTTTGCGAAGTTGCGGAGATACCTTGGCTTTTCTGCCAGGCACAACTAAAGCAGAAGGACCAGTCAATTAGATATTCTGCTGACCGCCTTGTCTACCTTAGGTAACTCTGCCCTCAATCTAGTACCAAAGTGACATTATTATCCGGAATATTTACATGTTGCTATACTTAACTACGTCCATCATTATTGTTTGCTGAGTGCTCACCAGGCAATTCAAACTTTATAAGTCAATTTACCATCACATCAGCTGGTGGATGTTCTCCACTGTCTTCCACATAGTTGTTCCTGCCCCATACCGACAGATATTCTACACCATTGCATGCGTCAACTGCAGTCGATCATTGTATCCTATCTTTTATGGCATAGTCTGTGATCCTTGAAGAACTATCAGCTTTACTTGCCGAACTCTCGAATTTGGAGGATATATCTGGCTGCGCGGCGCGCATGTACCTAGAACAGAAAGAGTAGTGAAATTGTGCAGCAATAAGGTCACACCTATAGCCTAGCTAGCCTGTCCTCAAGTCAGTGGCTGAAGCAAGCACATGATGGTGAAGCAGATTAATATTACCAAGCCTAAGAAGCACCTGTTATTCTGAATTCCTATTCTGTTTTGAGTGATGTATTATCGCACCTGAGGCAAGTTACCACTGCTTGATTGGAGTTCAGATAGTAAGCTGATTTATAGTCATGAAGGAGAATGAGGACTTACATCCTCTCATTTCACGGTTAAAACAGGCTGTCGTATGTGGAGAGAGTGAATACCTTGGCCCTCTGGGATCCACAATACCTCTGGGATTGGCGCTTACCTCTTCATAGTTAGGGTAACCTAGAAAATACTTTTGAGCATTGAACGCATCTAAACAGAAAATGTGGAACTTCATTTCCTCACCTCACATTTCCACTGACTAGTCTAACCCAGAGCACAGAATGTTGCCAGAAGCACCAAAAAACAAGTCACTATACGAAGAGGCTGTTGAAGCTTTCTCATTCTTGAAGGAACGTCTACCTGAAACTCTAAAACATCCTCGTGTTGCAGTTATTTGTGGCTCCGGTTTAGGAGAACTCGCAAATACCATCCATGATGAGCCGCGAGCAGAATTTGAATATTCTTCCATACCCCATTTCCCTTGTCTGACAGGTAAAAATGAAGCCTTGAAGTTCAAAATCAACCTGCTGTTTTCTGACCTCTGAAGTGCCCGGACATGCGGGAAAGCTCGTCTTTGGACTACTTGCCAACCATATCCCAGTTGTTCTCATGGTGGGCCGTGCACAGTGAGAGCCCTCAATTTCATTTCCCCGCTGATCATTATTATTGAAAATCGTTAATGTTTTATTTCGCATGCAGCTACTATGAGGGTCACTCAATACATCAAGTGACATTTCCAATCCGAGTTTTTAAGCTTCTTGGAATTGAGACTATTGTTTGTGAGAACCCCGCGCTCTCTCCGGCACGAGACATAAGAGACATATTTAGTAATCGCGCACAAATAATTAGTAACGAACGCCGCCGGAGGCCTCAATACCGAATATGCGGTTGGAGACATCGTGATCATCAACGATGTATGTCTAATAAACATGTAAGGATGCTGCAAGCTAGGCATACTGACACTGTCGAAAAAATTGCAGCACATCTTCCCTGCAGGATTCGCAGGAACACATCCCCTGCGAGGGCCAAACCCGGAGGAATTCGGACCCAGATTCCCTCCTCTGTCTGACGCATACGATCTCGAGCTCCGTCGTCATGCACACCAGGCATGGAAAGCAGTGATGAGCGAAAACAGTAAACGAAGACTACACGAGGGTGTGTATGCCTTTGTTGCGGGTCCTAGGTGAGTAACTATTCTCCAGGACCATAAATTCGTATGCAGCCATACACTAATCATTCGCAGTTACGAAACTCGAGCCGAGTGTCGTATGCTTCGCCAAGTTGGGGCTGATCTGGTTGGCATGTCAACCGTACCAGAAATAATCGTCGCGAGGCACTGCGGCATCAGGGTACTGGCGTTCAGCTTGGTAACCAATAATGCGGTCCTCTCTCCAGTTCCCCGAGGAGATGATCATCTTCTTCAAGCTAAGGACGTGAGGGAGCTGGATTCCATATTGCAAGAAGGCAAGGCAAACCACGAAGAAGTCCTCGAAGCTGGCCGCACAGCAGCCATCGATATGCAGGTAAGCCTCCGCATTGAGCGGCTAATATGTATGGATTGGTATTGATAGGGTAGCAGAAACTCGTCGTGAGGGCCATATCAAATGTCCATGGGGGCCGATAGTGTCCACTCTGTGAGTGGATCGACGATTCAGTCTGCCTCAAGAAGCAAATGCCACGATTGGGCAAGAGCAACTTTCTGAGACGATCGTCATGACAAGACCCCTCAGAAGTGGCTAGGAAATAGCAAGTCAGCAGAATAACTCGACCGTTTGTATCGAACCCTTCACTGAATTTATATCCTTCAACATTTGCGAAATTTGTCTTATTTTTTTTGACGGTTTCTTTTCGCACGAAGGTTACTGTAGAATGATCTTTTGCCGCTTTGCTTCGATTTTTGAATCTCCCTGTATTTGGAAGCAAAGCGTTTAGTTTCCGATTCCAAAGCTAAGGCATCTTCAACGAAGGTCTTCTTGCGGTCTTTCTTGGCAATGCGACCGCTGAAGAATTCCGTTGGACCCTCGATGATTGTTCCCAACTGAGAATATTTTGGAGGCTGTGCCTTGCCGCCTTCTTTCTTGTAATGCCTCTTGGGATCTAACACAGAACGCATCCTGATGAGTTGAAGATCTCTTTTGAGCTCTGTTGTCAATTCTGTCTTTGGAAGATGGAACCAATCGGCACCGGCGGTTGGCTTTTCCTGTAAAGACATTAGCAAAGAAACATCAATAGATCACAAGGCGAGCTCATGTGAGGAGATTATGCTCAGAGTAACTATGAAAATTTTGCTCTCATTGGCGCAGCGCAGCCCAATACGGACTGTTGAAGCTGCATCAAGGGCTTACGCAGTGGGAAATTTTCCTCATAGCATGTATAGAGAAACGGCGGGACAAGACAATCAAGAATCTTACCTTATGTGTTGAGGAGTTGACAGAAGCCTGCTGGGTCTTAAGAGTGGACAAGCTCTTATTAGATAAACTCATTTGCAGCGGATCGATGATGCGTTTCGTATCAGCCAAGGCAACATCGTCTCGCTGCGCAATATAAGATTGTAATGAGGAGTCCGTTGTTAACTTCGGAATGCTGCAATAACCACACCATCAGCAACAACTCAATTGACCTTGAGTGATAAGGAAGACTCTTACTTCAACAAGGGCTTTCCAGATTGGCCAATGGCTTGGTCCTGCGGAGTGCTCGTCGGCTGAACTTTACATGTTTGCAGTCGAGACTCAGCCTCAAGAAGCAGCTGCTCAATATCTTGATCATTCAAGCCACCCTCTTCAAGAGATTGCAGTGCAACTTTACCACATGCTTCTACTTGCATATTCGTGGGAACGTGGTGAAGAGGAGATAAAGCAAAGCAGTGAGGAAAGATTTTAGAAAGAATTTATGGTGGAAAATCCGAGTCCTATTTAGCTGTGTTGGGGATAGTTAAATCCCGTGATCCAAGGCTATTAGTCATCATAAACATTCTGACTGACGGCCCGATCCAAGTACTTATTTAAACATGTCTCCAGCACTCCATGCCAGTATCTCAGGCGACTGCTCTTTTAGATATGGATCTAAAGCGTATGGATTTATCATACACATACACGTACAATTTGGTTTTGTTCTTGATCCATTAATAGGAAGCAGTCACTCTAAATTATTCCGGCAATAGAGATGCAAACTCTACTCCATATCTAAAGTACTCCATACACTATCAAGAATCTAAACTCATCTTGTGTAGGGTACCTTAGTCTTGCCCTCATCTTAAGGTACCGTACCCCATGTAACGTTATTAATGACCTTCGATACCGGCGGAGGCCGCACAACTTAAAAGGTAGCTGTAGGTGGTTGGGCAAACCAGCAAGAGAGGGCTATTATAGGACGGAAGAACATAAGATTGGTATCAGATCTCATCCTCAAACTGCAGGCAAATATATTGGACCATAATTACAGACACATCAATGAGAAAGATATGAGACTAGGGGTAACCAACTCGTCTCCACGGCATCACCTGTTGCCTTTGAGCGAAGACACCGCTTACCCCTCAATTGTATCTGGCTGAAATGTTCAAACAGCTCAGAATTGAGTTTTGTCGCAGTAATCTTGCATGGTGATATGTGTCTTTATCATGTTCAGTTTGTTATTGATCCATCGAGGTCCAAGTTAGTGGAGCGTGGACCCTACCTAGACTGTAGACAGTAAAACAGCACACATAGTGCATACCTTACCTGTCGGTAGGTACATAGGTACGGTGCGTAATGCTTGGCGCCTGTTTCAGCGCGCTCCTTTGACGTCGACATCTTTGTAGCAACCCAAGTAGTAACATTTCGACAGTTCGCAATCTATCGCAATACTATTCTGCATCTCGGACACGGCGAAGAAACTTGACGTTTGCTGTTTTGATAAATTATATTCACAGGAATCGGAACCGCCTACCGCGTCGCACCGTCAGTCACCCAGCAACGCCTTTGGGAGAAACCTTCGCGATACACCCACTGTTATCTCAACGTGTTGAAGTACTTCATTTTCTGTACTTGCCGCTTCGGTTTATTCGTCGTTGCCAGAAAATCTCAGACATGGAACAGTCTTCGCAGAGTACCGGACAGCAGCAAGGTAGACAGCAGCCAGTCTATGACACCAGGAACGGCGGACATTATGGTGAGTAGTATCTGTCCATAGAGATCCTATGTTCTCAACATCTCATCAAATGTCGAAATTAATTCGTTGTTGTAGGTGCCAGTGCTGCGGTATGGTGGACTCGGATCAGCACAACCATTATCTAGCTCGTGATAGAAACTGACTTGCAATATGACAGCTTTCAGCGCAGGGGTATGCCCCCGTCGCTGAGCTTTATACGGGAACATGGGCGAATGCAAGTAACCAAACCTAGTGATTTTCATTATACTGATGATTGGAAAGGTCAATCAAGGGCTACAAGGCACAGCCCGCGACATACTAACGACCTACTGGCAACACATTATCAACCATCTCGAATCGGACAATCATGACTACAAAATTCACCAATTGCCACTGGCCCGTATAAAAAAGGTCATGAAGGCAGATCCTGAGGTCAAGATGATATCCGCCGAAGCGCCTATATTATTTGCGAAAGGCTGCGATATCTTCATTACAGAACTCACTATGCGGGCTTGGATACATGCTGAGGATAACAAGCGACGCACGTTGCAAAGATCAGATATCGCAGCGGCCTTATCCAAATCTGATATGTTTGATTTCCTCATCGACATAGTGCCTCGTGAAGAAGCAACATCGCATGCGAAACGATCGAGCCAGACAACCGCAGGTGCTGCAGGTTCCTCTACTGCGACAGGTGCCCAACTGCCGCCTTCTCAACATGGTGTTCAACATCCTCCGCACCATATGGGGCCCCCAGATTACGGTTCTCTGGGGCAGCATGGCATTGGACAAGACCAAGAATATCGACAGCCAACGATGTACGGGGGAGCCGTTCAGTCGGATCCAACGGCCGCGTATGGACAGCCGCAATCCCAAATCTTTGAAGGAATGTACAATCCTTACCCACATCTTCCGCCACAGCAGGTATGCCAAAACTCTACTTAACGTTTTTGAAGTCCGCTGTGCGGCATTTCGGTACGCCATTCAGCTAACCGTGTTCATTTCGAAAGTGATTATTTGCAGAGGTTCAGTCTTCATGGACAGGTTAACAAGTATATTGGAAGTTCATTGTCACGGCGCCGTGCTCATTTATTTTTGTTACTAGTATTAAGATGGATCTTGTGCCTATCACTACCATGCAGTTTCCAAATGGAATCAGAAAAAGTGGTTCCCAGTATGCTTAACATCGACTCCGAGCCCTAATTTAATTTAAGCTAGAAGTAAGAGGTTGGTTGGGGAGATGGCTTGGTCAGTCAGTGAGAAAAATCTCGAGACATCCCAATTTTGAACGTTTCAAGATTTTTTGCCGAACCTTGAGGAAAGTGTTGTGAACTTATCAATCTTTCCCGAACTTTGAACAGTGCGTGTAAGTCTGTAATATAATTAGTAACTGGCCCCTCCGGGATATTTGGCCATGGATAGACGCACTTTTCTAAGAGGATAGGGCCATTGATAGCATCCACGCGGCCATACTTCTTATTTCTCGTAGAAATATCGTAAAACTCGTCCGTATTATCCGCCTGCATTAGATGCACAGTCTGTTGCAATTCGTCGAGGTTCTCCCGAAGAATGGGAACACCCAAGCTGTCAACAAACTGAAAGAGATATTCAACATCTTTCGCAAGGGCCATCACTCCATTGGGATTGATGCTTTTTACGTCTGAGGAGAGCGGTTGTGCCTGTCGAGAGAGCGGGGATTAGCCAGTTCTTATATCAAGGGATTAATATTGTATTACCAAGATCATGTTCGCCGCATGGCTGAGAGCATCGAAGTATATGAGTTCCTTGATTTCTGTTGGGAGACCGAGCAATGTTGAGTTCATTATATTGGACAGAAATCGGGTCAGCGTTTGCATATAGTTGCTGGGCTCTGTCGGAGGCGTGAGTGCCATCCAGTCATACTCTGCAGTTTCAATGAGATCATCAATTTTGGAATTGACGACCTCAAAAATTCGCTTTTCTGCTGATTTTTTGTTGCTTCTGAATTTCTCCGTTGCTCTTAAGGATATCGGACCGCCCGCAGCACCTTGCGATCGAGCCGCGGCGAGAAGCTCCTCGAGCTCACGGCACGCAGATTCAAAATGCTCCAGATTGATTAAGATCTGAACAATCTGGCCCAGATATTGCGAAGAAAGACGCTCAACAAGCGTATCGCAAACTTGGTTTGAAAGAAGCTCATCCAAAGCCTGTGACCGTCAGAATGTACTTTCTATGTTTACGGGCTCATGTGTGACTGACATCTTTGAGAGTATCATCAATCATATGCGGATGCGAGAAATCTTCATTGGCGAAGAAATAAAACTGGTTTAAGAAGTTGCGGATGTCGATGCAACACAAGGGATACATCTGAGAAAAAGGCAGAACACATGGAAACCTATTGAAGTTAGTGAAGGGATCGCAATTCTCACAATCGAGACTGTTGGATATACACTTGCTCCTCCCTTGGCTTCTCAGGATTGTACCAGCTGACATTGAGGACCTTGTCATACTCATCCAACGATTGTATCGGCATGGGCATATAATCGTCCGTCGATACGATCTTACGATTCAATTAGCAAGGACAAGTTGATCATGATATTGCAGCATACCTCCTGGAAGTCATCACTGAATCTTTTTTTGAGAAGTTCGGCGTATCTCTTGAACAAAGTCAAGAGCAATTCGTCAAATTTTCCAACGGAGAACTCCCATGTCTGTGTCCAGCTGTGGTCAGTAATGGAGGAAGGGCAAAAACATCAGCGGCAGCTCCGAAGTCATGGACCAACATTCATTGTTTGCATAAATAATGCAACCAGATTTTTGATTTTGAGCAAACTCTCAGCATTATCAACTTCAGGAAGCGCTTTTGAAATGAGGCCCACAGCAGTCTGGCACATTGAATCCCAGAGCTCATCAACCTAGTCACACGCATTAGACTTCATGCTGAGCAAATGGTCAGGAGAAGGGTGACTCTACGTCGACAGATGACCTCAAGTCTGGCACTCTCTTCATGGTAGCACGCTCTACGATGGCAAAGCCTGCCATTTCTTCTAGAAGGTTGTGTAGGCAAGCCCCGTCCTCGTCAACCAAAGTTATTGAAGAGGGAATTAGAAGCTCTTTTTGTCGGCGACGGGTATTAGCGTATTCCGTCCGAAACTTGTCCATCTGCCCCAGTGATTGATGGATGTGTAAACACTCAAACAGGGGGGTGAAGTCAACCTGCAGTTCCTCATTCTGTAGTAAATCATATTCTTCGTGCTCATCCGACACCAGCTCAATAGCAGAGTTCAGTTTGAAATGTCTGAGGTATGGTAGTTTCTCTGCCCTCTCCTTTTGTCTTGTCTTCCGGCATTCTGTATGGTAAAGAGCTATTTCTCCGAGAAACTGAGACATCTCGCGGATTCTGTAAAGCCAAGTATTCAGGTCAGATAGCACGGCCTCCGCTATCGCTCGTTGGGTCGCTGGTACTGAGCGCTGAATCATGTCGGCGATTTTATATTGGGTCACGTCCTTGAGGTGCACATTTTGGAGTTCCTCGAGCGCCCGTAAAGCCGCATAGTGGTTTTTCTTGGCTAGCAGATCGTGAACTTGATTAGCCAGGCGTAGCACCTCCAAGCAGTCCTGGATGGCGCGAGACGTCTCATCAATATTCTGTCGATGACTGCGCGACTCTACCAGAGCCTTCTTTTGTTCGGCGAGACGTTCGGTGCTAGCTTGGATAGATTGGTTCAGGTCAAGGATCTCCGCGGTCAAGCTCACTGTTCCTTCTCTGATACGCAGAAGGTGATTGATTGAAGATACAAATTCCTGATGGTTTGTGTTGCATATCGTTTCTATTTCGGCTTCTTTATCGCTGGCGAACTTGGACAGGGACTGCAATAATTGAGACGTTCGATTGCCGACGCTATACTCCCTGATTGAGGGGATCAATTGATCAATATAGTCCGTGTCCGATGGAGAGATGATGATCTATGATGCATGGAATTAGCGCTTGGATATGGGACGCATGCTACTTTGAACTAACTGAATTCAGCACATGTGATGGTTCACTACGCGAAGAAACCATTGACGGCATATCCCATGTATCAATATCCTCGTCTGCGCAGCCTTGATCGTCAAGTAAGGTCGTGTAAGGATGGTCGGTTGCTAATATAGGCGAGCAGCACGGGTGCCCTGTATCAGGTATAAAGCACGAAAAGGCAAATTTATGTTGATGCTTTGTAAGCAGTGTGCAGGCACGTAGATGACCAAGATGGTTTTTTGCATGTGCTATGAACTTTTGTATCTTATCTTTACCTCTACAGTAGAAAGCTGGCTAAGGGCCTACGTCAGGATAAAGGAAAGGAGCTCCATTCTTGTCATGGTCCGTGCGCTTGTCACAAGCACTAACTATTTAGGATTACTTTACTTTAACCCTAAAACAACAACAATGCTAACAATATATACATGAATATGTCGAAAGTATGGAGTGAACAACTGAACATCCTCAGTCTACGAACTAGCTATGAACTCCTCACTTCGCTGGTTCTATCTGTATGATCCTGGTCTCCAGACTTATTTTACTGGAGTACAGAAGAGGGTAGCCGTCTATCGAGTGCGATGGGTTTAAGAGCATCAAAGAAAGAAAATGAAAACCAGCCTGCCTTGGGCAAGTGCACCAGCATCATGTATGGCCAAGTAGGTGTCTTTGAAAAGATATATAGTCCTACATATAACTAACTAGCTTCATTAGTTGGGTTGGGTTAATATACCATGAAATACTAGTCAGAATTACTTTCTATAAGAGTAATAAGTAGGCTCCAACATGACCACCCCTTTTACTTACTCTTTTTCTAGGCGCTATCATTTCTTATACACCCTAAACATGATGCAGATCATGCAATATTTGTGTTTCTCTTGAAGCTATTAACCTGCTCAAACTATCGCCTTTAAAAAGGTGCTTTGACATTAACAGCATTTCTGTCATAAATGGTAAGGCCTGAGAAGACAATATATGATATTCATTTTTCTTTTAGAAATTGATATATTTAGGGCTTGTTTACCCTGTTGATTGTTATTATATCACTCATGTGCGATGACAAATTGTATACATAGTAGCCCCGTTGATGTCGCTGGGGCGTTGCTCTCATCTTCTCATGCTGTCCCTGTCAACAGTTTTATCTTGTTCTGTATCATTTCCTCTTCAAAACTTGCAAAGTCAGGCCTTTTCCCCATGCTCTTCTAATGTTTGAGACAAGTGCCACTTCTTTCGATTCCTACCCCTTCCCTTCTTGAGGTGCAATTGCAAATATCTTTAATACACTTCGCAAATTGCTTATTGACTTCAGAAACGGCAGTCATACTATTGCTGAAGGCTCAGTAGCTTGATATTGTTCCCTGACAAGACGCCAGTTCGTTCTCTTGTAATGAGGGCCAACAACTCCTCTCGTGGGTTGAGCAGTCCCTGTTCGACGAACGATGGAATCTCGCCCAATGGATCCCCCGATACCAAGCTTACATCCTTCTCACCCGAGGATGTACGATCTAAAGGGCGTCCTGAAACCAGTGTTGCTACCTCCCTCGGCGACGCCGGATTCCGCAGGCTGTACACAGTGTAAGTGCACTATGAGACGAATATACTTCTCTGTTAACACTGCTTAGGCACCCAGCCGATCCATTTCTGGTGCCGCTAAACACATCTAATCGCGTGCAGCTGTCCCCAACCGCAGCAAGCTTCACCCCTATTGGAATAGCCGGCAGTACTGCCAGTGATATCCAACTTCGCGGCCGTTCGAATATCGGCTCCTTGAACGCTCAAGCTAATGTTGAATTCCGCGGAGCCAGAAACGGACCGGGGGGAGTATATGAGCAGGGCCTACCGAATTATGGGCCTATTGGCCGTGCTCCAATCGCTCAAAAAGGCTGCCCAACTGGCATTTCCGCCGGACATTTTGACGACGACAGACGTAGCCGCGCATTTGTTATTGAAAATGTTCCGGCCAGTCTTAACTTCATGTCTTTGGCTGGCTTCTTCAATGTAAGTTTTCGAATTAGCTGCTCATGTAGTAGAATGCTAACTCTGCAAAAGCGTCGCGAGTTTGCAACTCTCAGAGGACCAGTCCTTAATGAACTCAGCTCCTTGGGCAAAGTGTATGTTGCATTTGCAGACAGTCGTGAGGCGAAAAAGGCAATCGAGAAGGTTCGCCTTCTTCGACCTGAATGGCGTGTTTTTCCACTTACTGCGAAGGAATATGTGCAGCATTCCGAACCATCTCTTCTCCAACAGACATCAGATTATGAAGGGCATTTGCTTGTATCTGTGTACTACGACAGCCGAAACCCCACTTTCAATTCGCATACTGTAGCGCGCTCCCTCCAAGCACTTGCAACGACGTTTGGGGACCTCAAGGCATTCGATCTACTTCCCAGGGGACAGGACAATGTCAGCGAGTTCCACCTCGAGTTTCATAACACGCGTGATGCTGATAATGCAATGGTGACACTGAATGGCACCACAGTTGATGTAAGTGAAACATTTCGTATCAAGTTGCTTTTCACATTACGATTTCCCCACGGTCAGCTTAGTTGCATGTCTGAGAATACTGATACATCATTTGACAAAGGATTGTATTCTGGAGATTGCTCTGTTCAAGCCCGACGTCACCGAAGACAGGCCATTCAATGTTCTGCCGAGCCCATCTCCAGTGAAGGACGGAGGCTCACGCTATGGTACTTCATACCACAGAAGCTCACCCTCTGCCCCAACACGCCCGTTCAGAACGCCTTATATGGAGCTTAGCCCCACTGGCCGCTCCACTGTGCCTTCAGGAGAGCACGCCGGTCTTATGGATTGGATGTCCAGGGCAGGAGAGAAAAACTTGCACTCGCCTCGGCGCGAGATCAGTCGTTATCCTGATGCCCGTGTCATTAGCCAAAATGCCGTTGATATCGAAAGAATTCGCCTTGGCTTAGATGTCAGAACAACTGTATGTATGACTGGTCATGCTGCCATCGTCCAGGGACTGACCTGCTAAATTTTCAGATCATGCTCCGCAATATCCCGAATAAAATTGATCAAGTAAGTCCAACGCTTGTCAACGGAGCGGCATGGCAGCTAACATGCTTAGACTATGCTCAAGGCGATCGTTGACGAGACCAGCCACGGGAAGTATGACTTCATGTATTTGCGTATTGGTAAGAAGGAGCACTCTTGGTTTGATTTCAAGATGAAGCTAACTTCCAGCCTTCTAGACTTTGCGAACAACTGCAAGTGAGTCAATTACTTTACCCATGCACAGCTTCTTGATCATACTCACATTATTCCCAGCGTCGGATATGCTTTTATCAATTTCGAAGACGTAAGTCATATGGAACAGTTTGGCCCCTATCCCTTAAAAAATGTCTAACAAATTGCCAGCCGATTGATATAATCGATGTCAGGACTTCTCCCCTCCCTCTCCCCCGTCGCCTTCTAGCCACCCATTTTACTGAATAAACAATAGTTTGTCAAAACGCGAGCCGGGCGTTCCTGGTACGAGACCCCTCTACCCTCTCTGTTAACATACGCTGACCATCAATTAGGAACTGCTTTAACAGTGACAAAGTCGCGGAAGTTTCGTATGCTAGTACGTGCCACCTGTTGAACAACGAGGTTGGGTATTCTGACTCCTGAATACAGCGATTCAGGGCAAAGATTGCCTTATACAGAAATTCCGAAATAGTTCGGTCATGTTGGAACATCCATCGTTCCGTCCAAAGGTTAGCGCGGCATAATCAACATGAAGCTAGATAACGCGAAAACTAATAGAGAGTGTAGATTTTCCACACCGGCACTGGGCCTCTTGCTGGCACAGAAGATCGTTTTCCCGGACCAGACAATCCTTCGAAAATGCGTCGCAGCATCGAAAATGCTGAACATATTGGTAAGTTCATATATCTCTAGGACAATATGACGGTTTGCTAACAAATCATCTCACCAGGATTGTTCGCACCACGTGTCGGACAGCAATATAGGGACGAACAACGTCGACGCCGTTCACAATTCGATCGTGGGACTACCGCTGCTGAACGAGAGATCGTATATGTCCAGACAGTTGCTTCACATCCCTTCGGTGTCAATGATGGCCTGAGAAGTGCTCCCTGCACTTATCCTACATCAACCATATGGTACGATCCGACGATCTCTGCGCGTGGTCCAAGAACATCCTAGTGCAAATATCGCCCCAGAAAGCAACCGTTCTTCGAGCGTGCCTCTGGGCCCTGAAGTCCAGGAAAATAATTGATTGAAATCGCGAGACAATACTTGCGAAAAAAGTGTCGATTGGGACTTGACCTCGCTGGCGATGCAGGACCCTTCATGAACTCGTCTTACCCCACTAACTTCTTGTGCCGAGTACGGCAGACACTCGGAGAATGAGATGACCGACTTGTCTGATTCACAGGAGAGAACCATTCAATGCCCTGGTTGGCACGCAATATGGGGTCTCAGTTCGAGTCCAATGTTGGGTTCATCTCCATTTGGAAGCCCATCTCTGTGAGATTTAGGTGTCTTTCCTCCAGGTGTCTATTCTGAAATAATGATCAAAATTATGTCTGCTCCTTTAATTCCCTTTTCTTTTCTCCATCTCTAGGAGAGATTAAAGTGATCAATTCATGACTTGCCCTTTTTCTTGATTTGTCTTCATTTGTAGACTGTCTCCATCTGAAAGGACAAATAGCCTACCTGATCGCATTTAGTTGCTTGCATGAACGGCATTAATTTTCTGCAAACCGTATGCGTTGGTTGCTCGATGTCGTCGATCAACTTCGTGATGAGAGCATGATTTTCCGGGTGTGGGTGAAGTACTATTCCTTATCTAGCTAGCAGGTTGAGTTCACTTTTAGAAAATAAAATACTAAGCTGGTCTACAAAGGGTATCGAAACCATGGCGTAGATTCTCTTCATCATTATTCTATTTTCTTGATACTTTTCTCTCTCTCTCCTTTTTTTCATCTTGTATTTCTTTTCTCTTTCTTTACTACTTGCTTGCTTTCATCCTCTCCATTTGGTTCTTTACCTGCATCACGCCCGTTCCCGGCATCGTCTCGTTCCTAATGAGAAGCCCTCATGCAATGGATTTGAAAAGCCGGTCATAGTATGTTCCGCACAAGAGCTTTCTAGTTAGCATTATTCTTCAAGATTCATGAGCCTCTCGTTGCCATCAGAGTACTCTAAAGAAGGAATGGATGTCAAAGAAATCATAGCTTTACATTCACTGCTTCATTTAGTTTTCCACCGAAATAAGAATCAGCACGGAAACACGAAATGGTGGAAATGGTTGTCTATCTTGAAACGCATCACTCTGAAACTCGCTAAGTCATTGGAGACCGATGCCTTCCATACTGTTCGCCTATATAAAGAGCACCTGGCTTTGCATGTCATTCCACAATGTTACCTGTAAGTCACGCTATCAAGGTCTATCACGCTGCCATTGCTTTCTGATACCTTGATTATTTTTCAATGACTAAACATGTATCAGAGCATTCTCGACAGTCATAGCCGACGGCCAGTTTTCTACAATAGGCACAGTGCTAGTAGCTGCGCTTGCTCGTTTAACTAAAGCGACAGGAATAGATATGGAGATGAACTCCTTCCATCGAAATAAAATGGCTTTTCGGCCGTCGACTTGCCTTAAGAATTTGCAACAGGAGGATGTGGGAGAAGTTGTTTCTCGGCTGAGCGAGTCTTTTATCCCTGTTCCAGGCTCTCAGTCTGACAAGCAAGATGGTTTAGAAGAACCGAATAGGCACCAGAAGGAAGCAAGAGAAACTGCCACTGTCGCTGTGAAACCTTCGGGCCAGAAAAAGAGGAAGAAGAACGCCATCGATGATCTTTTCAATGGGGTCCTGTGATCATGCTGGCTGCTTAGAGCCAGATATCATTCAAGTACTTGCGGACCATCCAAATTCGGAATGTATCAGTTAAGAATAAAGTATGCCCAATTTGTATCCTCATAGCAACTCGGTTAACGACAAGCAACTGAATGAAACGCATTATTGCCAGTTCAAAACTTGCGACATGTTCGCTGTAGCCGGTAAATTGATAAATAGATGGTTGAGAATAGTCCACGCCAATGTATAGAGATATTTTGGTGAGAAGACTGTCCAGATGAAAAGATGTGTCCGTAACATTGTACAAGCCGCCATGACGGACATCAAAGACATTGCAGCATGGAAGGTTAGGAGGGTTCTATGACCGTATCTCTCCGCAAAGGTTGGATTTGAGTAGAGAAGTCGAGCAGCGGATGCCCACCATATGGGCCCAGCCCAATTGCTTATGAATGTCAAGACTCCCACCAACACAACACTATAACTGCCAATCCCGTTGTATGCGTTGGAAAGATCGACAGAAGATATTGCATTCGAACCTCCAAATGCAAAAAAGGTCATATTCTGTGAAAGCAAGGACGTAATGGTCACTTCAGTAGCGCTCATTTTCAGAGAATCAAGAATTATAGCCTGTAGTCGAAACATCAAAAAGACCGGGATATTAACCGCTTTTGACTGCGTTATCAAGAAGAGGGTCAGGCTTTCATGAAATATAGTGCCCAGCGGAATCACTAATGTTTGTCAGTAAAACCCCACGCGGCAGTAATTAGTCAACACTCGCCTCCTGTTAAAGAAGATCGTTTCTGCGTGGCATTCATCATACAGAACGATGTCACTACTAGTAGGGCAATTCCACAGAAGACGAGCCTTGCGGGTAGAATCAGTGGCATCTCTTCAAGGCTTTTCTGTATGGGCGACAGGAGGGACTCGTCAAGAAGCTCGGGTGAGTCGGACGCCACGAAAACCAGCTTGAAAAAGAAGGCCGCTATTGTCGTCAGTATAGCTGCAGAACGCCAGATATTACTCGGGGGCGAATTGAGGCAAAGGCGTATGCATGTATCAAAGTAAGTCAGTATAATCAAGGCCCACAAGATGTTCTGATGCCGAGGAAACAAATTTCGCGCAATATCTGGCTCAGCAGCAAATTTTTGGCCTGTTTGATTCCAGCGTCTGAGAATCCGATAAGAGATGGCCAGCCCAACTGTCATACATCTTGCAATTGGTGAGAACGAGAACTGAGCATCTTTCGAGCCATACCATGGGCGGAGTGATTTTATGTGCAAATAGACAGCCCATGCCGTGATGACCCAATACCAGAATTGTTGCTCTTCCTCCACGTAGCTGCTGGCAAACATCATACCACTGTAGCTTATGATGCTCAACATGAGAAACGTCACAGCATCGCTGGACTTCCGGACCAATCCATATGCTGAAAAAAAGGAGAGTAAGACGGCAAGAGCCGCGACGAACAAGCCCAAATAAAGTCTTGTTGTATTGTATTTACTGGCAGTGCTGCTCATCACTTCCTGGGCAGATCTTAGAACCTTGAGCAGAGCCGATTCGACATCTGGCAGATTTGTTCTATTACGCCCCAGTCCGTGGACCAATTGTAGTGCTTGAAACCAGGCACACTGAACTTTGGCAGGACCTGTTGGCAACTGCTTGTCGCAGCCGTGAGGAGGGGTAGTTGCTTCAAGATCTAGATCGGGAAAGGTCCCCTTCATTGCGTTAAGCATCTGCTTGGCGTTTCGAAGCAGGATATCAATTCTGTGAGCATCTAGAGCCAAGAGGCAACATGTCAGTTTGGAATACGTTACGACGAAAGGAATTGACGACATTACCATTATTCCACATCATTAGAAACTCTGGTATGAAAATGCCGAGACTATTCAGCGGAATAGGTAAACCCAAGAGCCCTGCCAGAGTCGGCGTGATGTCCATCTGCTCGACAGTCCGATAGTATTGCAAGTCGCTAAATGCTTCAACCGGACTGTCTTCGGGGCGTCTTTTAGTCTGAAACTTCGGTGAAATGAAAAGCAAGGCGGGCGAGGTTTCTCCTGGTGACGAGCCACCATGATTCCCGGCATCGTTCATGCCATGATCTCCGCACAGAACAAACAGGGTCGATTGAAGATATTCCTGTTCCTCCATTGCGGCATAAATCAGAGCAACGATCGAGTCCATCTCTCGTTGCTTTGTCATCATATGTCGACTGCGATATTAGGACACAACTCGGAAAACGAAGTGAAAGTCGAATGTCTCACCTCTTAGGGCCAGCTTTGTGACCAATATGGTCCAATCCCAAAAAGTGCATTATGAAGGCCGACCAATCGCGCTCTGATAGCTCCCGCGGGACATGGCGAGTAACATTGTGATCTACTTCAGTGAAATCCTGTAGGTGTCTATTAATTATTTGACCCGTTTGTGTTTCTTCTGCTCGCTCATTGGTTATGACTGACCGATACAAAGAAACTCGTAGTCCCATCCGACCTATCAAAGATTCCGGGAAATAGCTTGATCCAAGTGTCATCCCCGTACATGACAAGCTGACCTCCCTGCGCCTTTATCTGCGCTAGCCATGTATCTTGATATGCGAGGGTAGAAGAGGTATCAGATTCTGCGATGTTCAATATCACGTCCAAGAAGGACGGCACGGAGCCAGTTGTCATGGCCTTGAGCCGTGGCATTGTGACCGTTGGAGAGCTGGCATGGGCCGTGAAAGGTAGCGCCGCTCCAGAACGGATTAGGCTGTTGAGCTCGAAATGCCTCAAGTCAGCAGCAGATTCCGTGGTAAAATCATTATGTGGCTTCTGGTTGACCTTTGGGTGAAAGAGAATCCGGAATTCTTCGAATAAACGAAATCACTAGCATTAAGGCTCAGCTAGGGATACAGAATTGAGCATTTAGATACAATTAGTCGTACCTGCGCAAAGCATCAATCACCATGAAAATCACTCTATCAAAGACTTTTGGTGCCACAGTGTCAATATTGGTCTCATCAAATGTGGCCAGTCCTGGAAGTAAAGACTTGTAGGGGAAAAATCCGGATGAAAATATTGAAATGGCTACAACAATGAGTATATTGGCGATTAGAATTGCCCGATGCTCCCATTTGAGAGCCATCTTGAGGCTTCGATATCTTTGACCCGAGCGCCAGGGAGCACTAGAGTATTGAAACCTGTCGCATATCAATCGCGACTTGCTTGAGATTATGGAGCTCTCATAAGCTGCCAGATTGTGTGAAGTCTCCGAAGCCTGTCAAAGGAGGGACTGTCTAAAATTATGGACAACATGCTAACCAAGTACGGCATTCAAGCGGCAGAATATTGACCACCTCCGCAACCTCCGCAACGTCAATGTATCCTACTTTCTGATTACAGTTCTCACTTTATGATAGGACTCCAGCATATTAGCTAAGGGCTTTTTTTTGTCACGCATTTAAAGCCAGAGGAACGAATTTGAAAGCCAGATTGTCGGAGGTGATATTGAGTTTGTTGGTGTAGGGACGGACGAAAGCTGCGATTCGGGGAGGTTATCAAATTCAGGCTTGTCAAAGTCAACATCCACACGCATTTAATTGAAGTTGGTCACCGCGGGCGATAAGAGCAGAACATACTATTGAGCCATTTGCAAAGCAATTGGTTTCAATCTAAAATATGGAGCTTAATTTAAAAGGTTATTTTGTATATAATCACATTATTGGAGATTCTATACCACTTATCTTAGGGATGTCAGGGGGGTGAACCACACCCCTGGAGCACCGCCTCCCATATGGGGTTAGCAGATTGTGTATAGCCAACGGTCCAGCTGTGTAATAGTAACAATACCAGGTTGCTAAATTATATGACTTTAAAAGAGCTATATGCATGCATTAAGCACACTATCTTGCCATGAAGAAACCCAGTGTATGCACCATTAACACAGATAAGTGGAAACTTGATAGTCATAATAGTAGTAACGAATGGCCTTAACCCAAAAATATTAATCCTTGATGGTTTGATATAAGGCATCTGTTCCTTCTAGTACCTCTGTATGCAAACTCAAAAGTCCCAATCTGGGGTTATCGCCCAGGAATGTTTGTGCTTGATAGTTTTGTACCATAACCCTCCCACATGTTTGACACAGTGGAGCTTGAAAAATGCAAGTACCTTTTGCAAGCTAAAACTCCCAACGCCGCTTTGCAGATGTCATTCGTCCGCTTCCGAGATTTATTAATCACTTCCTTTGAGATCCCTTCTTTGTTTTCGAAGGATGTGATTGGAAGACAATGGAGGAACGGGGCTTCTTGCGTTTTTGAACACGTCCTGACTTCTTAGAGCGACTTTGAGTATGCTTAACAGACATTGTGTCGACGTCCATGTCTAGAAGGAAACCAATATCAGCAATGTGCTTTCTTCGCGAAGATTTGGTCGGCTGGGGATGAGGTAAAGGAGAAGGAGAGGCCCAACCTTCTTTTATTACTGATTGTTTGCTGTCTGTAGATTTGACTTGGCTACCTGTACAGTGGAATGAGACTGTTAGCTGGAAAAAGAACATGCAGTTGAACTATATTGAGTACTGATTGTGGGAGCAACGAACCAGCTCCTGTAAAATCCAATTCCATACTTGAAGTTTTGTGTTCTCTGATAATCGGCTGAGAAGCCAGCTCTTTCAACTTTGCAGAGAGCCTCTCTGTCCGCGCATCAGCAGCAGGGCCAAAGACTGTGGCGCGGAGTTTGGCCCTGTTGCGCTTGGAAACACTGGCTCGAACACTCTTTGCCATGCTGTTTGTTTCGAGTAAACTTGTCAGAACTTTAGCAGTTGTGAGAAAACGATCGGAGATGTGGGTATCAAAAAGGTGGTGAACAATTGGGGGGTAAATTGAAGTCGCGATATAGGTACAAGATATTTTTTGCCGAACTTCACTCTAGTCTCGTTCTGGGCCATCTTATGTCATCACTTCGGAAACCTTAACAGGGTATTCGCTCTGTCGCACCTCAGATGCGACAGGAGTTTCGGTCACAAATGTATACAGTTTCCTTTTGTTTTTCGTTTTCTTGCCATTTTTTTGTTCTTCTACTACTCAACTGATCTCCCTGCCGAGAATCGAAATTGTCAATAAGATAAGAGTTGAAATGTTTGTCAATAGAGCTGGCAATCTAAGCGCATTCGCCTCTAACCACATTTCTTGAGTTAATTTATACCCTGCCATCCGCACTCGTCATATCAGCTCGGAATCATGGCCTCTGCCGTTCAGTCGTCTGAGCTCCAGAGCGTTGTTGCTTTGATAAAGACACTCACGAATGCACAGCTTAAAGATATCTTGAGGAGTGAGGGGCTCGCTGTTTCTGGTGTTAAAGCTTCGCTACAACTCCGGATAATAGACTGTTCGTTCTCCCTTTATTTGCTATTTTGCTTTCATTTCAATTGGCGTCAAGAACACTGAGACTGCCTAGAACTCTGTTGACTGAATTATCTAGATATTGAGCGACTCAACCAAGGAGGACATACTGAGCGTTATGATAGTCTGAGGAGATTCATTTATGCTACAGCGCATCGCGCGATGCCTGGGCCATCAACAACACAACATCTCCCAAGTCAACCATATCACGCATCACCTATTACCCAGTCAATACAAACACAGCATAGACCAACGCCTTTGACCATACCGATGTCATCGCATGGATTCACACCTGGTAACCTGTGCACGCTTCATTTCTCTATGATCGTTGCTCATGTGTTTTCAGGCCGCATTACTTTCAAAGACAGCCCGTTCTACACAATCTTGGAGCAGCTTACTCCTACTGTAGAATGCAAAAGTGAGCATTGCCCCTATCAGCTGAGATCAACCACCAGTCAAGTCTAACTTCTTAAGTACGCGAGCAAACCAGAGACAATGTCGAGCTGAAAGTCGTCCTCACCCCAACTGTAGCTTCAAGATTGCAAGCTGATCCCAATCTTCGGGTAATGGTTTATTGCGCAGCGGACAGTGGCCTCAATCAATACACCAAGTCCGATATTGCTTTCCCTCACCAAGTCGAGCTCAAAGCGAATTTGGACGAAGTCAAGGCTAATCTGAAAGGCCTCAAGAATAAGCCTGGTACAACAAGGCCCGCGGATGTGACGAATTATATCCGCAAAAAGCCCGGGTATCCCAATCATATCGTTATGACTTATGCGCTTACGCAAAAGGCAAGCTGTCCCTTTCAGGCCCACCCATGCTCAGCTCATTCCATCATGTCAATCCCAATTATGTATTCTTCCTGACTATCTTGTAGAGATTTTTCGTTCTTGTGAACCTAGTCCAGCGCCATCCAATTGATGACCTTGTCTTGGAATTGAAGAGGAGGAAAACGATCACAAAAGAGCAAGTATTACGAGAAAGTATGTACCCGTCTATCTTTCTCATGCATCGAATTCCTCTAATGGTTTGCAGTGAAGAATAGAGCGGAGGATTCTGACATCGTTGCCACCTCCACTGTCATGTCCTTGAAATGTCCTCTTTCCACGCTGCGGATCGAGGTCCCCTGTCGCACTGTCGTCTGCACGCATAACCAGTGTTTTGATGCATCGTCGTTCTTACAGTTGCAGGAACAAGCACCTACATGGTCGTGTCCGGTTTGTTCCAAGGCCACCAGCTATGAATCATTGCAAGTTGATCAGTAAGCTGCGCGAATTCGCAACTGTCACGTAAAATACACTAACTGTGAAGATATGTTGATGATATACTTCATTCCACATCGCCGGATGTGGAACAGGTCATTATTGAACCGGACGGGAAGTGGTCGAGTCCAAAGGAAGACGAGTTCAAAGGCGCTGGGGGTGTCACTCCGGCGACAGAGGACGAGGACGAGCTGATCGAGATTAAAGAACCTGGAATTGTGCATGTGAAGCAGGAGTCACTCTCAGCATCTGGCCTCTCCCTAGAGAGGACACCGGCTCAATCCCGGGAGCCGTCAGCGACATCATCTGCAGTTCGTCTGTCCACTAACAAACGCCCGGCAGCCCAAGTGATCGATCTGACTGGTAGTGATGATGATGGCGATCTTTCTCCAGTCAGACCAGCTAAGCGACTGGCATCAAATGCTCCCCATCGGGCTTATGCTCGACCAGCATTTCGTAACTCGTTTAGCAGCGGCCTTGTAAACGGAGGAAATTTCTCCTTTACGAACCAGATTAATTCGGAGTCCCCTAGACATATTGGTGGTTTTGATGCGTGATGACATCTAGCGAGACATATTTGCATGGGGGCATGGCGCAATTGGGTTCAGGCGTTACTGCTGGGCATGGGCACGTTGGGCGAGTTTCGATGAGGAGGAGCAACATTAGACATGGTCCAATAAACCATGTTAGTTGGTGAGGTAACAACATCTCACTACTATTAAATTTGGCTCGTCTCCCGCATGCATTAAACGCCCTCATGGCTCTGAACATGTTCATTGAAATGCAGATGTTACAGGTGTTACAGATGATCCAATCTGCGTGTAGATTTCACCATTAGAAATTTATAATAAGTTGAATTTGTCAGTGTAGTAGGATGAAGTTGATAGTTCTTGAGTTATTTGAGAGTGGTTGTAATTACAGAAATCGGGCGGCAGAAGTTAGGGAAGTGTATGTGAAGGACGGATCTGAAGTCCAAGCATTTACCTTATCAAAAGGCCCAAAGCACGTTGCGGAGTTCCGAGTCCACCTCCGCAAATACTGATGATCACGGATACCATGGAAAACGAAGTTTATCTGAGCTGAGGTTTAGCGTTATCCTACAATTTTCAAATTGGGAATAACGTATTGCATATCTCTCAGACAATTTCCACACGGACTCATCGAGATGTCGTTTGATGCATCTGTCTCATCTATCAATACCTCTGATCCTCATGCTCGCTTCCTGAGTACCTCATGCCTAGACTTTCTTCTGATAGAGCTCGTTCCCACGGCTGAACGCTTAGCAAGGGAATTGGCACTCAATGACAAAGCTTTAGATGATGACGAAATCAGGGAGTCGACTTTCTTTCGACTAGAGTCTATAGGCTACCGAGTTGGTCAAGGACTTGCGGAACGGTAAGCCAGCGACACATTCTGTCCAGTACTTGAGGGATGGAACATGTGTTTGGATGAACCTAAGGCAGAGGCGATCTCCCTGAACGGGACTTGACTGAACGCAAATGCAGCTGACATATCCCTCTCGCATCTTCTCACCGGGCAGATTTTCTCGCGATCGCCCTCGTTTCACAGACAATCTCGATGTTATCAAGTTTTTGTGCAAGGATCTGTGGACCATTCTTTTCCGGAAGCAAGTGGATAATTTGAAAACGAATCATCGGGTCAGTACACAGAAGCGACTTTAGTTTATGCGCTTGAGTCTTCAGGGTCTTCACGGATAGAAGCTGACAGTGGTATATCCTATCTCTCAGGGTGTCTACGTCCTCACAGATAACTCGTTTCGACCATTTGCAAGAATGAGTACGGCTTCTCGAAGCGAGGCGACTGCTATGGCACAAGCGGTGGGCAAGACCCCACATCCCTACCTTCATCGTCATTCTGACATTTGGACATGACCCCAGTTTCTCTGGTTTCCATGCGGCGTCATTCGTGGTGCTTTATCGAACATGGGCATTGCCACCACTGTACAAGCTGAAACGTCTGAGCTTCCTGGGGCGACGTTCCAAATCAAAACGGTACAGCCAAGGCCCTGAACGCTTGGGACGGTGAATTTGCCTAGAAGGCACCAGTATGAAATAACAACAAAGAATCCTCTTGTCTCTCGTCCCGATGGCAGGCTCAATTATCTCCTTTACACTGCAACAGGGCTCACACTAAAAGCGAAAAAAAAAAAAAAAAGAAAAGAAGGATTTATTCGTTTCTGCATGCATGTCTCTAGGGCCCTGCATTTCAAGAACCTAATGATCAACCCCACGGCGACCTCCTCCATCAGTCTTCATCAACCTTGTAATTTAAAGCCTATCTTTCCGGGATAGCTTTGATTAGCGACGTCATTTTCAATTCTGGTGAGCTCTTCGGGGAGGGGAAAATGCCACCGACAAGTGCTCTTCAGGGAAGAAAACAGGGCGGCTGGCCAATGGGGGTAGGCTTGTTTGACAGGGATAGGCGCGTTTACTTTGGTGGGGTATTCTTGACGAATTCGATGCCCTTTTCGATGTTGCCCTTAAGGCCCTTGGTGCAAGCCTCGAGGAGCTTCTTTTCCTGCTCGGTGACGCCCTGGAGAATGTTGATGGCTTTCTCCGCACCATTCCGCTTTTTTTGCATTAGCATATACTATATGAGAATGGTCTGTGCTGAAGACGTGGAAACACTTACTCCGAGTTCGACAAGGGTCGAGAAGAATTCAACACCGGTCTCGTTGGCGATATCCTCACCACCAGTGACACCTCGCAAGTAAATGTAAGTGGGTTCGACAATGCCTGACTGGCCCTGCGAAGCCCTGATAACCCTTTCGGCAAATCTACCTCGAATTAGCAGGGAGGCGGATTCAAGCGGAGAAAGTGGCAGACCTGAAGCCAGCATAAGCCATGGACAAAGTGGCGGAGCCAGCGCCGTCTTTAGCCTTGACTACCTCATCTCCGCCGAACTGGACACCTACGGACGAGTCAGTCGCCAGTTGCAAATAGCTGTAGATATAGTGCAGACACTCACGGTTCACAAGAGCGTCATACTTGTCTGCAGGAATATCCAGGGCAGGGGAAGCCTTGCTAAAGAGGGGAACGATGGTCTCGCCAGAGTGCCCGCCAACAACAGGAATTTGAACCTTGGATGGATCCTTCTGTCCGGAATATTCTTGAGTGAAGGTCTCTGCACGGACAACATCCAGAGTGGTGACTCCAAAGAGGCGCTTGGGGTCGAAGACACCCTGTTTCTTGAGCACCTCAGCGGCGATTGGGACGGTGGAGTTTACAGGATTTGAGATGATAAGTACAAACGCCTTGGGGCAGTACTGTGCGATTCCCGTCACCAAGTCGCGGACGATACCAGCATTCACCTTGAAAAGATCGTCACGACTCATGCCAGGCTTGCCTGTTGGGAAGAATTTGAGTGAGAAGAAGAGCAGCAGTAATTTTTTTTTTTTTTTTTTTTTTTTTTTTTTTTTTTTTTTTTTTT